TATAATTTTAATAAGTTAGAATTTTAATAAGTTAGAATTTTAATAAGTTGTAGTTTTAATAATGTATAATTTTAATAATTTATAATATTAATAATTTATAATTTTAATAATTTATAATATTAATAACTTAAATATTATATTCATAAAGAGAGAGTGCATTAAAAATAAAAATTCATAACATTAAGACAAAGTGAATATTATATTAAGATAGAGTGAATTACATAAGGTTTTTAATCTCCGTAATGGTGCCCAGCTCCACAACGAGGGCGACATTTGTGGGTTACGTCGTGGTGGTTGCTGCTCAATAGGATTTGGATCATCATCAATGACTGGTTGTTGGAAAGCAACTAAAGAACTACCAGATTCATTAGCAAAATTTGGTTGGTAAAGAAATTGTATATATGATTGTGCTAAAAATGAAGTTCTAAAATATACTCCAAATAAGTTTGTAAAAAAATTCTTTGAAGTTGTTGCAAAACGAATGTCTTCTGTCAATTATGTTTGCTTATAATGTGATGTTGTGTGAAGGATTTGATACATGCTAGTGAGTCTCTTCATACGACGACATGGAAGTCGCACCGATTTTAAATGTTGTGGAAGTCTTTCACTGTTGGTGGGTCCTTAGATCTTGTAGTAGTCGTGGCACAAATAGAAAATAGATGGAATTGGCCAAATACCACTCCATGTATTCTCGTGTGTGAAATAATGGGTCTTGCATTGGATGACACCATGGTCTATTTGTCCCTCTATTAGAGGTTTTTCAAAAATGTCTGCGATCAAGTAAATAGCTCTACGAACAAATGGATCGTATCAAATTGAAAAATAAAAAGATTTGAACAAGTTATACCCTTTGTCGCCACTTTATGGAAATTGTTAGGTATCAATATGTTAGATACTTAGGATTGCTTAAATTATGGGCTCAGAACATAAAAATTTAGTTGGGTTTAATTAATAAAAGGATAGAACTTGACGGCTCCAATTATAATAGAAAAGCATAAAGCAATGAACTTTCTTTCATTTTTTTTATTTGAATGATTATCCCATCTAATTGTACATTAAAATGAGGTTAGATAACTTAGGGACGACTAATGTGGAGGTAGGTTACTATAACCTAGATCAAGTCCTTAACTCATAAGCTGGTGTTACTTCCTATGGAGGTCACCATGACCTAGTACAAATTTTACTTTATTAACATTTTCCCCAACTTTGACACTTGTTACAACAATTATGTCTTACCCAACACCTGTATAATTAAGCTCTAGTGTACCATACTAAGCAAAAACATATGAAGAACTTCAAATAATTATTTCTATTCTTGCAATCACTTAACACAAACACCAATTTTGCCATCCATGTCCTTATAGGTGTCACCACCGTAATTTTCCCAAGTTCGTGATCACCACAACACACACTGCCGAGACAACACTTCGTGCCCAACATCATAATAGATCCTATTCCAATTGTAGCTTCATGCTCATCTCTTTTGTAAATATAACTTGTATCTTTTGTATATATCTTTTATTCTATCCAATACAATAACTCGTTACTTCGATAAACCCCCCCCCCCAATACTAATGTTTTATGAACTTTGAACTCACCTAGGTGGGGTCACAAGCGTCACTAATCAAAACATTTGATAAATGGAATGGAATGGACTCTCACTAATCAGCCTTTTTTTCAAGCTTGTCTCTCTTAATCTGTGGCACATAAGTAAAACACAAGCATCCAAATACTTTAAAGTTTTTTTTAAAAAGGTTTATAGCCATACCAAACTTCAAAAGGAGTCTTCGCGTCAACGGCTTTGGTGGGCAGTCTATTTAGCAAAAATATTGCAGTGTTTGCAGCCTCTACCCACCTTAGGTAACCCTTTCTCATGAAGCATACATCTGACCATTTCCATTATCGTTCAATTCTTTCTTTCACTAACCCCATTTCGTTGAGGGGTATCAAGAGTTGTTAATTGATGCTCAATGCCAGCTTTCTCACAATACATGTTAAATTGTTTTGAAGTGTACTCCTTGCCATCATTAAACCTCAGAGCTTGAATCATGCAGGCACTTTGCTTTTCAATCCACTACTTAAATCTCCAAAATACACCTACAACTTATGACTTAGGCTTGAGAAAGTAAATCCAACACATTCTGGAAAAATCATCTATGAAAATGATATAATATTTACTCTCTTTAAGTGAAGCCATCCTTTGAGGTCCAGCTAAATCAGTGTGAATTAATTGCAGCCTCTTTGTTGCTCTCCAAGTTGCTTGCTTGAAGGGTAATCTTGTTTGCTTGCCATATTGACATGCTTTGCAGCTTGGTAATTCAGAATCTAAGTGAGGTAAGTCACGAACCAATTCCTTTCGTTGCATATTCAACTCAGTTGCATGATGAAAATGACCCAACCTTTTATGCCAAACCTCTATACTATTTATAGTAGCTGGATATGTTGCATGCTCTTCCTCCATGGGATCAAGTGTGAAACTTCTGTCACTCATTTTAATACTGAAAATTTCCTTGTCATTGACATCTTTAATAAAACAATGCTTTATTTTCAAAGTTGAGTTTAAATCCTTTCTCAAGTAATTGTCTGACACTTAGCAAGTTTTGATCAATTTCAGGTACATAAAAAACATCATAAATTAATTTTGTACCTTTGCAGCTTTCAATGGCTACGGTTCCCTTTCCTTCAGCAGTAATGAAAACACTATTACCAATTCTGACTTTTGATACCTTTGATCTGTCTAGCTCTCTGAAAAGCTCTTGATCATGGGTCATGTGATTGGTACAACCATCGTCTACTAACCAACATTCAGTTGAGCTACTGCTTGTAAAACATTTTTCTACAAACAATTGTTCTTCCTCTCTCAACTTTACGATTCTCACCATAAAACCTTCAAATTGGTGCCAACCAAGTATATGGCCATTTGCTTGATGAGATTACCTAGATTTAGGTAGCATTAATCGCTAGAAGTTGCCATTTCAAGTTTATGTAATAATAGCTGGATTCATACTTTGTAATAACAAACAAATACAAGTGCCTAATGTGTTGGTGATCTTCGATTTTGATTAATCAATAATGCATCCTATGCATTTGCTGGAATGTACCCTTTTTTGTCTTATCCAAAAAAATAATAATAATAAT